TGGCTCAAATGAAGGAAAGCGATATCTGTCAGAAATGGAACATACTCTCTGTCACCAAGTGATAAAACTCAGAATGATAAATGACCTGTGAAGAAGAGCGGATTTGAGCAAGTCTGACGAGAGAATGCTAGGAGTCTGAGGGTGAAAGTGGAATTTGTTTTACGTGTCTTAGAGCATAAATGATGTGAACCAGCGCAGGTGTTGAAAGTTGCACAGTGTTGTAATCGACCTCAGGAGGACGTGGTTAAATAATGATTTAATTAACATATACGTTAATGACCCTCGGCGAATAATGTTTGTCCAATTAAGGTAAGTGCATATGTACAGGGGATGCAGGCCCGCCGGCGTGGCATTCCGCCATCGATGCTGTACTTCACATGCCTGTGGCCGGGTGAGGGAAATTTAGGGAGAGCAACATCTACCATTGGACAGTTGGCAATTTAGTGTGCTCTCGTGTCACCCTAGAGCGTGCACCAATTTCGCCTAGCAACGGACTTAAAACGGATGTGACTTCTTAAACGCATGGTTGCTGCAACCTTATTGAAAGGGGGTCCCACAAATATCTCGCCACTTTTTCTGGTCTTATTTCTTTGTTTCGTGTTCGTTTTGCTTCTGAGACGGGGGCTCGCCGTGGACAAATGCGGTTCCGTCTACGTTGTTTAGCGTTAGCTGTTTGATGTTGTGCGTTCCGCTCTTGCGCTCGCTCCACAAAACGTCTTCAAAGACACTAAACAAACCACTTCTTTCTGCAGACGAACAGTCGAAAGCAACGCTCTTTTTACCTGATGGACTGTGTTAATTACATCCCGAATCAGCCTGGCTTCGCCATATTGCTTCGAACTCCGTTGGATGGTGATCCTCGTCAGTTTGGAGGGTTTACTCAGAATACCGACTAGATTACTTTTGGCATTTCATTGGTTCAGTTTCTCCACCGGGTTTCAACTTCAAATATTTCGATTTTAACGCTGGAACCTTGGTATACATTGCAGATAGGGCATCCAATCTTTGCTGATTATTTTCCCTGGGAGTATGTAGCGTCGTTGTGAGACCCAGCGAGTTGCTATGCATCCGTGCGACGTTACCTTTCTTATTAGTTATGGGGTTGGTAACAGAAACAGCAGCGTCTGGTTCTGTAGTGCACTTTGATGCAACAACGGCCCAGCTGCCACTGGTATTTGCATCTTTCATGGGCTTCGGCTAATTCCGGTTGGAGGATGTGGGTTTGTAAGAAAGTGTTTTAAATGTGTTGGGAGTGAAGTGTTCGGGAAGGTTTGGGCGGTTTGGATCATTGGCAATGATTGTGGGAGCAGCTTTACCCATATAACCTTCGGCGTTGTTGTGTTAGCTTGCAGCGGAGTTCGGTGGAGTTTGCTGTGTCAGACATTCTGCTATGCTTGTACCTATAGAAGCTATTTTGGAGCCTAGCATCTCCACAAAGTCGTTTGAAAAACTTTCTTGCTTCTTAGTTAGTACAACTGAGGTTTTAACTAATGGGAGAGTATAACATTTCGCACAGAACCAAAATGAGTCAAGCAAGCTGCTGACCAATTTGCACTAGCTTGATTTGGTTTTACCGCATTTCGTATGAGAATGGGTTAAGCAATTTCCACAGCAAACCCCTATCTTGATCATCTTATTACACATTTCACAGGCGCCTTTAAGCACCGCGGCTCGGTTAGTAGAGCTTACCAGTTTTAAATTTGCACATTAAACTTCATAGGTAAGCCGCACGATCAGTATAAATTTTCGCCGGTTAGATAAGAAGGCTTGCGTGTGAAAAATCGCGATTGGTTATACGCCAGGTTTTGGTTAGTGAAATTTCAAACACGTGATGTGAAAAGCAAACTTTTCGGCGTAACGTATGTTTTTTATTGGAAAGGTAAAAACGCTGTGCAAGCAAGAAAATGCGTATGGCAAAGATATATTGAGAGAAAACCAGTGCCAAAACTGTTTTAAAAAATTTGAGCCGACAATTTTGATGTTCAACATGCACCAGCATTTGTGTGGCAATTTGAACCAGATAAAGACGCAATAAATGGCTATGGAACTGTTCGCTGAGCTTGGCAATTTTGTTGCAAACGTTTCGTCACCAATCGAGGTGACATCATCAGTGCGTAGTTGAGTGCAACGCAATAGCGTAGCGTAGCGTAGGGGAGCCTCGGTGAGAGTGCGCTGAGCGTCGTGTGCGTGTGTTTTTATACCGCCGTGGTTGGCAGTGAAGCCGAGCAATCCTATTGGTTGGGACTTCGATCCGCATTCAGCTTGGTTGACGGGCAGATGACCTTCGACCTCGCCTCTTTGTGTTTCGTGGCCTTTGTCTGCTTGCTCCTGCGAGCGAATTTGCCGTCAGTTCTGTTGGTCTAGTCACACGTTCCACCGGATTCAATCGATCGAGTTGGCGGTCGTTCCTCAGTAGGGTGGCGTAACTGCGTCCAGTTCGATGTGTCGATTGATTGAGTGCGTCCTAGAGTACCAAGCTTCCAAAAACTCCCTCGCGTGTTTGGTACTTCCATAGGCTAGGAACTTTACGTTCTCCAGATCGAAATGGTGGCCTTCTTGATCTTAATGCACAGAAATCAAGGAGTGTGGATCATGCCTTTTTACGGCCGCCTTGTGTTCGGTGATTCGTGTACAAAGTTTTCTTCCAGTTTGTCCGACGTAGTTTTTATCGCAGTCGCTGCATTTGATCTGGTAGATGACATTGCATTGGTCGGCTTGGTTGACTATTCCTTTGGGTCTTGATAGCAATTTTCTTACGATGGCACTTGGCTTGTGCGCCACAGAGATTCCATGTGATTGCAACAACCTTCCTGTTAGTTCGGAGACGTTCTTGAATTAGGGAAGTACTGTCCGTTTGTTTACTTGATCAGATGATTGCTGATAAAACTTCTTTCTAAACACTCGATATAGGGGATTTTCTTCCTGTTTCCGAGATTCAACTGTGCTGCAGTGCGTTTCCACTCTTTTGAACTGGGTTTGAATGCAGCTCTTCTTGTGGTTCATTGGGTGGTTGCTGTGGTAGTTTAATATCTGGTCCGTATGTGTTTTCTTCCGATGTACGCACGTTTCCATAGTTCCGTCTCTATTCCTAGTGACCAGTACATACAAAAATGGTAGCTTGTTATCCTCCTCTAATTCAATCGTAAATTTGATATCTTCGAAAGTGTTGTTGAGCAAATCGTGCGTGGTCTGTACTCTGTTCCGTTTTACGATGACAAACGTGTCGTCCACGTATCGTATTCAGACTTCGGACAAACTGAAGAAAACTTTGTACACGAATCACCGAACACAAGGCGGCCGTAAAAAGGCATGATCCACACTCCTTGGTTTCTGTGCATTAAGATCAAGAAGGCCACCATTTCGATCTGGAGAACGTAAAGTTCCTAGCCTATGGAAGTACCAAACACGCGAGGGAGTTTTTGGAAGCTTGGTACTCTAGGACACACTCAATCAATCGACACATCGAACTGGACGCAGTATACGCCACCCTACTGAGGAACGACCGCCAACTCGATCGATTGAATCCGGTGGAACGTGTGACTAGACCAACAGAACTGACGGCAAATTCGCTCGCAGGAGCAAGCAGACAAAGGCCACGAAACACAAAGAGGCGAGGTCGAAGGTCATCTGCCCGTCAACCAAGCTGAATGCGGATCGAAGTCCCAACCAATAGGATTGCTCGGCTTCACTGCCAACCACGGCGGTATAAAAACGCACGCACACGACGCTCAGCGCACTCTCACCGAGGCTCCTCTACGCTACGTTACGCTATTGCGTTGCACTCAACTACGCACTGATGATGTCACCTCGATTGGTGACGAAACGTTTGCAACAAAATTGCCAAGCTCAGCGAACAGTTCAACAGCCATCTAAACCACCTGAGCTACCAGTCTTCATTGCTATAGCCAACGCAACAAATGTATTATTTGATGCAAACTGGCGAACAATAACTTGTGAAATGGCTGAGAGAGTAACTGTATTGATTTCAAGCGTTCGTGTTCATTTTAAACGCCTAGGTTTTATCTCAATGCTCGACATATGGGTCCCACATATCCTTTTGGATAGAAATGTTTTCCGTCGCGTTGAGATCTGGGAGTTACTTCTCCAAAGTCAGGAAAAGGATGCATTTTTGAAGCACATCACCACTAGGGACGAGAAGTGGGTTGTCTACAACAATATTAAACACCAGTGATCATGGAGAAAAAGGCGAACCGGCTCAAAGCACTTCATAAGCCGATATTTCTCAAAAAATGTGGTATCATCTGTTTGGGAGGATTTCAAACGAATGGTTTTTCGCACTTCTACTGGAGCACACAACGAACAATTCTGAAGTGTACTGTTATCCGCTGGACAAATTGAATGATCCATCTAAACAGAAAAGGCCACAATTGATGGATAAAAATGTGAAGTGTTCCGCCAAAATAATGTGAGACCTCACCTAAGTTTACTAACTCGCCAGATGATTTTACATCCTGGATGGAACTTGGTGCCACACGCACCACATTTTCTAGATCTGGCACCTTTTGATTAATATTTGTTCGTGTCCCTACAAATCTATTTAGATGAAAAATCCTTTACTTCAAATGAGGAGGCCAAAATAACCTGGATCAGTATTTTGTCAGCAAAGGACAAAATGTTTGTGAGCGTGAAACAGCGGTACTGCCAGAAAGATGGCAATAGGTATTGGACCAGAATGGACACTATGTAATTCAACAAAAAAGCTATTCACCAGAAAATACTCGCCTTTCATTTTGACTGAAATAAGACATTAGTTTCCGAACAACTAGATATTTAAGCACGTCGTTCTCATTTGTCTAGTCGCATTCTGCAGTGTATATAACCCTTACACTCCACCCGTGTAGAGTAATCATTTACCATCGGATTATGTTATCAGACTTTAATATTGTTAATTAATGCTGAGAATGAGTTATGAACTGGTGGGATTTTGGCAATCAAAGTACCTCCACGTTTCTTGCATTTGATTCCCTTTTCTTGTCTAGGTGGCCAGAGATACGTGGCCTTTTGGACAATACTGCCCAGTGTCCTGTAGATGGGTGTATCAGAAATATGCCAGCAATGTGCATTGTAAGTAATGACTTATCCCGCAAGTAATGTTTTTGAAATATAAAATGTCCTTTTTACTGACGTAATGACACATAGTTATCTGGTACAATCGCTATTTAATTACTTATGGCATATTTTTAGTCGTCCGAGCACTGCAACGATAGTTATAGCCAGCAAGGTATCACGCATTTGGTATGTTTCTTGAAGCGGCCACAGTGCCACTTTCATAGTATACATTAGTACAGTGACGTGCTACATCAGCGTTAATAAAGTATGCCGGTACATCGCCATTGTTACTAACACAATGGCATCAGTTACTGAGTAGTGACGCAAACCGAGGGCGGTTATGGGTTCGGTTCCTGATGCAGCTGGAGAACATCCATTACTGAAGGGACTTATTAGGTAAAAACGGACGGCTGATGCTTTTCAGATCAATTAAGTGACCACTAAGTTTGGAATCTCCAGCAGTAAACTATGAACTGATTGCTCGAAACTTCCCAAATCAGGATGGGGAAAACGTTTTGTTCACTCATTCAAGACATTTTACATATAAATTATTAATAATCCACTCTGGAATTCTCGGTAATGGCTTGTAATCGCACTAGCTTCTTAGGTAAATGGGTTTTCTTATCAAGATTTTGTGACGGACCCATACTACCGATCCTACCCATGCAGAACACGCAAACATAGTTGGATACTTGACGGTATATATCACCGAAATATGCGCGTTTTCTGTGCTCATGCCCGCCTATTTGTGCTCACTTCCTCACCGCATAATCAGGTAATTCATAGCCTATCCCGTTAAGAGTTTATCTTGAATTGGGCTCAATAATAACAACAAAAACAATAATAATAGTAATACTAATAATGTGTCAGCAGTACACTGTAAAGACGCTTCGCTGCCTCGCGATTACCACCAGTCACTCATAGGCTGAGTATACCGTGAGAACGACGATTTCTGCGCAAATTCGAACCGGTGAAATCATAAGGACAAGCCAGTAGTACAGACCATTCGGCCATCAGCCGACTTTCGGTACTAAAATCCGTTTGAGTTCAGTTAAACAGCTCTAGTTAAGGCATAAAGATGCTGTTGATCTAAGTGCCACGACTCAGGTCAACATGATAGAAGCAAATAACCGTGCTAAGAAAAATAACTTTGTACAAAGCGAAAACATAATGTAAACGGGTTAAGAATTGGTAAGTGCAATTAATCGAATTGGTATATTCCCGGATGGACGCAAGAAAGTAAATGAAGAAGCGCCACTGACTGCACGATTGCGCCTTGTTATTTTGTGCTTAATCCCGAGGCCACGTCCACAAAGACGATATGCACCAGCCTAGTTCACTAATTCAGTGCAGTTCGACATGTATTTCTACCATGCCACAGATTTGGTACTTTAAGGTTTTACTCAAAGTGCTTAAGCGACACCGCGGAAAGCCATCGGCGTTCACAGGGTGCATTTCGACTAGCCCACGTAGATAGTTCAAATTTGGAAGGCACCCCACTGAGGCACTAAAGAACTTCTACCGTACAAACACAGAATTATGGGATCGGGGATCGTTCTCCGTGCAGCATGGGCAAGTTTCTTCTTCAGCGTCTCCTAAATGTAAGCGTTCGCAGCAACCTAACGGTATCAATCGAAATTGAGTGAGATGTACCTAAGAGATCCGTATTAGGGCCCCGCATGTTCCTGCTCATTATAACTTATCCCGCAAGCATGCTGTCTTTAAACTGCCTATTAGTTACTAACTATCTAAAGATTTGGCTTGGTATTACTAAGGTGGAGGATCGCAAAGCCATCTGGTTCCTAATAAAAATCGTCAAATTTCGATTATATTGCCAGTTTGATAAATGTGATGATCATACCTAGGCCTTCAAACGCAAGAGGACGTTACCGAATGTCATCTTGGTTCAGCTTGGAATTATAGGGAATGGTGAGGTTGATGAAATGTTAAGCAAAACAATGAAGTGGGAATTTGCTGATTTGGATGTTAAGGCTTTATAAGTGGTTGCCAAACCATCGTCCAAAAAGGAGGTTGTAAATTCTAACTTTGTGTTGGACGTGTCCTCGGCAAATACATCTTGGTATCAGATTTTATTGCGTTCCTGATTGTGCGGTTTTCCTCCGCAATTCTGGAATGCTGTGTTTGTATTTATGTTCAAAACAGCGTAATATACTTGAAGCAATGTTGCGAAGTTGTTTTTGAGGTCCAGGGATCCTAACGTGTTTAATTTAGATACGTCCTTGCAAGGATGTTTGCATCCGTGATCGATGGGATTCGTGCTTAGTTTAAACATGAGTGCCAGGATGGCTGCCGGCATCCGGTTTAGCGTTTGCCAGTCCTTGTGGCATCCGCGGAAGCCGCCAGAGGACGCCTGCGCCTACAAAGGGACCATGGTTGGCATGCGCTGCAACACCCACAGCTTCATCCACATACCCCATATCCAGTATAAACCCGAAGGAAAAAGACTGGAAGGCAGGAGGGTGGGAGCTACATTTCATCAAAGGAGCCGGTCCACACTCCTTCACAGGTGAACGCAAGCACGCTGTATTTGGGGAATCAAGTGCACACAAGGCGGTGGCTAGACCGTAGTCCGCTCCAAACTGACTGCATGGAACCACACTTCGAGCTTAGCATGGCCACAAGGACCGTTTGCCCCGTCTCCTCCAGTAAAGACCAACTGTCTCCTGGATGCAGTATGAACGAGGTGGTGGGTAATAAACAGGTAGGCACCTTGTCAACATGTTCATCAAATGCAGCCCCACCGGGATATCAAGCAATAGCCAATCATTTGGAACGACGAGAGCAATGAAAATAAATCAAATAATGCTTCCAGAAATAGTTACATAACTCCACTAAAGGAGCGCATAAAATAAATTGGTTACGAACAAATCCGCGATAAGTTCAATGCGTCAAAAAATATATTTTTTTAAAGGCCAAAAACATGAAAATGTTATCGAAGCAAAGTAAAGTCGTTTAAAGAATGTGTACAAAATTATAGATATTATAGACATTAATATGAGCTAAAAAGCATTAAGAAAATACGGAAAACTCACCAGCTGAAAAATAAACGGACTCATTGTGCTAGCAGGTGGTTAGTAAATCGAATGCAGTGTATCTTCCATCGCTGCGCCGGTTCTGTCTACACCCTCAGTAGTACTCGTCGTCGCTTCGGTCTTCTCCTCGCTCATAGCTCTACTACAATTTCCGTTTCTTATCTGCATGTATATGATCTTTCTCCCGCACCCCGGCAGTCCCTTTTTGTTCAGACCGCGCTATGCATGCAGATCAACCGTTTTCGATTTCCGTGACCTGCAAGCAAGATTAGAGCGTGAGAGGCTCATATTGAGCATGTCCTCGTAAGGAAGCTTCGGTTTCCCCAAATGCCGCTTCCCTAAACTCAGCTGACCATATAACGGCTGCTTCGGTATCCGCGTCGAATGCATACACCACACTTGACTGAGCCACGTCAGGTGCTCAGCAAACGTATGAAGTCCGCTGCATATATTCCACTTCGGCGTAACATTTCCGCGTCCGCAACTCTGTCGTAACAATCGTTGCGCAGAATCCGTATCAAACATTGTTGATGAAACCTCTCGAGACATCTCACATCCCGCCGGTACATCGTCCACGTTTCGCTGCCGTTTAGAAGAATGAACAGCACCATGGATTTGCACACCATCAACTTCGTGCCAAAAGTAAGCTGATGGTTGTTCCACACTCGGTATACAAGCTTCCCGAATGCCACGGCTGCCTTCGAGACGCGGATACGAAGCTCACTGGGCAGTTGGTGGTCAGTCGACATCCCACGCCTAAGGGATCAAAAGCGGGAAGTGGTGTCCAGTAATTCGGCACCAATGCTGATTTGCGACAATATTAAAGATTGTACCTCCGGTGAAGACCAAAGGAGACAAACAGTTTTGTTTATGTTGATAGTGATCCCGAATTTGGCCGCTGTCGAAGCCAGAGCACTAGTCATGTGCTGCAACTCATCTAGGCTGTGTCCAACCAACGCATAGTCGTCAGCAGACAGAACATACGGATAGTTGTCTCACAGACTATGGTTATCGCACCAAAACGACGAATGTTCAAAAACCTATCATCTATATCTTGCTCCACACGAGCACCGTAAGCACAAACCACAATAAAAGCACAAGATGTCATCGTATAGTGAGTAATAGTAAACAGAGCAGCAGCTAAGACACAGCCTTGCTTCATACCAGAGATAACTGCAAAGTCTTGTGAGATCTGTCCAATCAGCTGCACTCTCGTCTTCATACCACTGTGCAGACGTCCAACTAAAATTACTAAAATTTACTCGAACAACCAAACCTACTCATAACCATCCACAATGGCTCACCGTTCACCGTGTCAAATGTCGTTGTAAAATTAATAAAAATCGAGTGCAAATCTGGTGTCGTTCTTTACACTTCGTCTGCAACTGACGAGCCGCAAACACCATTTCTATACTGGTATGGCCCGAATGGAATCCATATTGCTTTTCCGCCAAGGTCGTTTCTACAACCTTGACCAAAGAGGCGGTTGAGCAGAATTCAGACAAAAAGCGTGTCCACACAACTAGGCAGGTTGATACCATGATAATTCCTTGCCCATTTCTTGCGTCCTTTGCCCTTGTACAGTGGCAGCACAAGCGCACCATCCAATTCTGACCCTCCTCCCCCTCAATCCACACACACACACACCAACTGGTGCAACGCAGTTAACAACACGTGTCCACCGTGTTTCGATACTTCAGTCGGGATCCCGGCACACTTGCAGTTTCGCAGCTGAGCAATGGCTCTCTGCGTCTCATCCAGTGTTGCGGCGTACGCCAGTTTCCCATGCACATGGTGCACTTTCAGGCCGTTCAAAGTAGCCCAATCAGTCGCTGAATAGTTGTAAAAGAGACAGTCAAAGTATATTGAAGGAGCTGCATTGTGTCTGCAGTCTGCGTGCAGGTAGCACCTGAACTACCATCGATCAGCGTCCTCAGCGGCTCCAACCTCAGTCTATACACTGCCTTAAAGGAGTCAAAGAATTTCCTGTGTTGGCGACGTTCGGTGTAACATTCCTACTGCTTTGCCTTCTCCGTCCACCATGTATTTTTAGTGCGACGGAGCTCTCGCGTCAGTGGTCACCGAATTCGGCCAAACTTTCTCTTCTTCCCCCAGTCACTGGGGCCTGCCACACGTGCAGCAAATGCTGCATTCTTCCCCGATACCATTGCGCCAATCGTCGCATTGTTCTCGTCAAACCAATCAGGTTGCTTAGAGCTTGCGCGCCCGATCCTCTCCTCGGTAGCAGCTGTCACCTAGTCGCGAATGTAGTGCCACAGGTCGTCCATTGTGCCTATGCTGTCCACATCAAGCAGGCGTACAGCCATCGTCTTCTCGGGCTCAATACGTTTCTCCACAGTACCGAGGGAGAAAATGTTAAATTTACGCCAATTCACGGCGGAAGGACTATACATAGAGTTACGAAAATATATGTACATTTTGTCCCGCACCAATTTGTGATCAGTGCCACACTCAGCTCTAGGTAGTACAAGTCCCATGCGCACTTCACGCCTCTCTGGCTGACGTACGATGACATAGTCGAGCAGGTGACCGTGACCACTCCTTGGGTGCGTTCAAGTTACTTTATCACTCGCACTCAGTGCAAACCGAGTGTTCGTGATCGTCAGGCATTGAGTGGCACACATTGAGAGCAGCCTGTCACCGTTCGCATTCGCTGAACCCATGCCATGCGGTCGGATAAAATCTGTCCACACCGATGCATCACTTTCAACGAGCGCGTTGAAATCACCCATGAAGGATAGCTTAGTGTAGAATTGATCACGCTTTTCATCAGGATAACACATGGTCGGACCGTACATGCTAACAAAAGTGGAAAACTTACCTCTTCCGAGTCGTAGGCGAACAGTCATCAGTCGCGCGCTGATGCCTGTTGATTCACCAACGAGCTGGCCATGGAGGCGATCGGATATTGCAAATCCGACCCCATGATCATCTGGTGCTGTGGCATTGCCCACTCAGTTGATCCATTGAGATATATATGTGTGATGGAATATATATATATATATATGTATATATCAATGGATCTACTTGAGGCTACGATCAAATGAGTTGTAGAGAAATCGATTTTAACACAACGTTCTAAGCAGCCTGCCAAACGTGTTCCAATCTGTAAAGTTTTCTTTTGCTCCTAACTTCTTTATCCCTTTTGACTTCTCAGCTAACCTAATCTACATGCTGTAGCTAGCCGTAATTTGATCACAATCTGCTAATGGGTAATCAACGGAAACTTTTAGATAAATTACTTACGGTGAAGAGCAGGTTTAAGATGTTGTCCAATCTGGTAGGCTCTCTAACGTGTAGATTTTAACCATTGACACGGACACTTTTGCCGACTTTTGCAAGTTCGCCAGTTGTTGTAGACCTAGGGGACGTAGATTATAATTCACAGTTTGAACTCGTTACGAAAGTATTTGTATTTATGCGAAGTGCTAGAACCTGCTACGATTGCAAACATTAAATGTTGAGATTTATGGGAGGTGGTTTAAGCGGATATATGCACACAGCCCAGTAGAAGATCTTAGGCTGCAACTATTAACCGTAATGTGCAGTATAATTAGCTGAACGCTAACTTGCCAGCCATAATTGCTTTTATGCCATTTGTTATGTAAACGGCACAATCACAACCGCGTTTGCTCGGACGATCTTTATCGAGAAACTTGATAACACTAAACAATCAACTGAAAGTCACATTTCTTGCTGTGTACAATAGTTCAGTGGTTCAAGTAATGTAAGACGTTTAGTAACAGCGTGAGCGTTGTAAGGTGATCCGGTTTAGGCAATGAAGGGCGAATTTTCAAAAGAAAATAGTAAAAGGATAGGCTTGAATACGTACATATGGTTGAACGGAAGTTTGTGGTGTTCTAAGCAGAAACCAGTGGTTCCTGTTGTTTTTTTCGGTGTACTGGTTTCAATTAAAATCTGCTTGCACAAATAACTCATGATTTGGTTGCAATTGGTGGACCAGTTGATGACTACGTATGCTACCTTAAAAAGGTATCCCTTGACACAGTGAAGAGACCGTTTCTGTAGGTGAAACCTTGGTGGATTTTAGGCTAGAAAATGTGCTTTTCGCTTAGGGGTATTAGACGATTGAGCGGTTTGCCCAAATACTGCATATTTTAACTTATAAGCTTGCCATTTCTGAGTTGTTATATAACTATCAAGATAATTTATGACTGGGATCTTATGTTGATTTGCCTCGCCGTCCATTCAGATGTCTGTCTGTCAATCACAAGAGCTGCGATTCACCAAACTCTGAAAACCAAGAAATTGCAGTTCACACGCGAGGTACACCGAAGTGTTTGGAGTAGGTGCCAATCGAACAAGCTCACGGTACACATTCTCAGAAACGAGGGAATAAATGTGAGCGTGTGCGTGCATACTGGTTAAGTGAACAGACCCATTGCATTAACAATGTCGTAATCGATAGGGTGATAATTACAGGTTTACACATTAGCAATTGAAGTTCGATAATTTCGGAATGACTACATGGCTAAAAAGGCGCCGAGTGACGATGGCTACTCGGTACACTCTGGACAAAGCTGAATTATTATGGTCGTGCACGCTTCAATAGTGGTCATCTGGACTCCTACGTTTGTTATGTAATTGTTATATGCTACCATCATAATAGGTAATAAGGCAACCCAAATAATCATTTTTGTCCCGCTTCAGATGATCATGGATCGATGCATAAAAGAAACGGGGTCCAGGAGCTCACTGGATCATGAGGTATGTGAAGCGGTTAGCTAAGTTTTGGATCAATATGGTAAGCTCACCTGGAACTGATAACAATTAAATTTACCGGTTAACACCTTTATCTCTGACTGGATGAACCTTTCGACATAAATGTATGAACCGTTCGGATAATAAATGTTTTACAGAATGTTAATTAAAAGCCATTTTTACGGCAGCTTGTATTCTCAAGAAATGAATATTTTAGTAGATCCTGAACATTCTAATATCTGGTCTACCAGCTACATACCAAAGTAATAGACTGACAGTAAGTTTGACCGGATCATCAAATAACCTTTTGCCCAGAAAATCTATAATATTTTCGAATTTTCATTCTTGGGGTGTATCTAGTTCCTTTGGCTACAAAAATTGGCCATTAAAGCTAGTGGACCAAACTCTATGTTAAAGGTTTAACAGTAGCTTCGGTAATTATGTCTGCCACTGAACGCGTTTGTTCGCACAAAGTGATGAAGGAAATTGAGTGAACAATTTGCACAATCCATCAAAGCATTGATGTAGTAATCAAGCAAGACCCAAATCCTACTAAAGTAGCAGTTGCCATTTACTTACCTGCTGATAAAGTGTTAACTGCAAGCGGTCCACAGTAGTAGAAGTGTGTCAATAGGGGATTAAAAAAGAGTCGTAAATCATCTTTTGTAAGCAAATATGGTCTCAGTATGCAGGTGAAGTTCTACGCATGGTATGCCTCTTGTCCGCAAAAGTAGGCGGCCGGTCGACTCATTTAGCCCCGTTTTTGCTCAATTTCCAATAAAAAGCATCTATGCAAATAAACTGCTTAATGTGTCAAGGTATATAATGCAGAAGAATTGTGCGCCATAATTCTAAAAGAATCTAATTTAAAACTTTAACTTTTGCTGAAATGGTAATTTTAATTCGTAAAATCTAACGGGAGATTGCCGCTAGGTGATCCTTTTAGGTAGCTCTGAGCGTCCCAGACACATTTGAGACAAAGTTTTGGCATGTAAAATAATTTTCTACATAACCTTACAATCTCTGGCAACATTTTGCTTATTGTTTACAACCAGATTAAATGGTTCGAGATTTATGTTATGGCTGCACTGAAAATGTATTCCGAGATACCGTAAATCATCAGAAGGTCTCACTGGGACGCAATATGCAAAAAAATGATCCAGGATGCACCAACGGTCACTACAGCGTACATATCACTAATCAGAATTTACACTTCTCACAAACATGCAGCATTAATCAGAGTTTTGTTTGTTTGTAACTAAGGAAATTTTATAATAGAAAGTGCGACATTTGTGTACACTGTGTAGCGACTGAACAGTGCTAAATCCAAGTAAGTTACACGAAACATATACAACGAGTGCTACTTGAAGCTACAGACAGACTGTAGGCACGGTCTGATAAAATATTTTTCAATATTCTCCTTTACTGATATTTATAAAGCTAGTAGGGTTTACAAAACAAACTCGCTAGTACCTTTGCATTGTGCGCCTGGTTGGCGGAAGCAGACAACCATAACAATAAGGTTAGTAGCAGAATGATAAATGACGTGTCACTACATGCATACAAATAAAAAGAAAGAATAAAGATAGCCTTTTGAGAATAAAATGAAAAGGTTAATTGAAGTCAAGTACGACACAAGTTTCCACCTAAAGCGCGTCCATCCTTTTGTACCGGTAAGCGAAACGTAACCCCTGACGCTTCGACTTTTGATCGCCTCTCCTTGTTTCTGCAAAATGAAACGATGCAAAAATGAAAAAAATGTTGCATTTTCATGAATCAACATCAAACCACATGGCACGAGGTCTTACTATTAAAATCAATAAAATGACATTCGTTCTGGAAAATGATGTGACCAAAACTTCTCTAAACTTCTTCGAACGCTTCTGCAGTCTCTTATTTCACTAAATCAGCATGTACTTTCTTCTAGTTGCGTGCCACACCGTTGGTGAAAAGCTTCGCCCTGATCTCCAGTCTAGCTCTGTTAGTTACGTTTCAGTTTAAAGCGCAAATAGAGTGTTGTCATTTCGGATGCAAGAGAAATGTAGTAATAAAACTCGGGGTCATCAAGAGAAACAAATCCACCTGGTCTAGGTAACTAAAGTTTTCTGGACTTATTCCAACCTGGATATTAGATATTAAAACCATGGATACAAATAGGGTGAAGTAAGCTTTGTATTATGTCACTATCTTTCAAAGTGTAAGTGCCTTGCATTAAGTGCAACTGTATCAGAAAACAGATAAACGCATGCACTGATTTGAGCGCTGCAATGCACTGGAAAACGTACTGGTTCAGTATTTTACAACAATGGCTTTGCTTGTAGTTTAACACTTCCAAACCTTTAGTTGTTCCACTGACTCTACATCGGTTTTCACAATCTGCTCTACTGAGTCCCGTGGCACACAGTTCCTGCTGCTGCTGATTTTTGCCCTATTCCCTGTATCCTGTTCAGTATAGGTTGGATCCAGCTGCCTTCATCTTTACTACCATCCTGTATTTAGCAGGTCTTTTACATGTCACTGCTGCCTACTAGTATCCCAGGCACCACCTAATGGTATACATATAATAACCACTTTTGTTAGGAAATAGAAAGGACAGTGCGCATGCGCTGTCAATTGTATAATGCGAGTATTTACTAGTAGATACGTGACTCTTTTACCCGACGATGCAAGCGACTAGATTGCCGCAAGTTAACCGAGTAGTTAAGTAGACGCAAACACATTTCAGCCTCTGCACCATCTGGTTGTGGTGAAATGATTGTTTGTTTTTGGCGAATGAAGAATCATTCTAATGAAAAAGCTTTGTTATTGATGGAAGCAACACGGATGTATCCATCACGACCTCTACAGGCAAGCACGCTAGTCCTTTGCTGTGGTTGCTTACTCGAACATACCGTTTGTCTCTGGAAGACTGTTCTGCGACAAAGTACACAAATATATTTACATAAAATAAGCAAAATTACATAAAATTAACCCAACCACATGAGAGTAAGCGGTGCGGAAGACTCCAGCTATTGTGCCGAAACAAAAATCAGCTATGTGTTATTAAATAAAAACAGAAATTTAGCAAATAATACTACGTTTAAAGGCAAATTTTCGAATAATAGTACAATGGACACACGTTTAATTGAACTTAATCATGGAAACTATTTGTGCAAAACAGCTGTTTGTTGCTCATGCAAAATCCTAAAAACGCTAAAGGACCTCGCTGCAAGTGAGGCTCATCGCTTTGCGTTTGTATAAACGGTCGTTGCGTTGTAGTACATCGTACACAGAATCTTACCATTTTCTGGCCTTCAGGTGGTTTACGACTTCACGGTGTTACAACGTCCCACAAAGCCAAGAGAGACCACCCCCAAAGACCCAATGCGACGCATGAAGGTAAGCCTTATTTCTTGTTTGTTGTGAAAGCAGTAGATGACGACTTGTTCTCCCAAATTACAGCGGTAGTATTTATTTTCAGGGTTGGTAGGTAACTGATATTTCCTATGGCGCGCTTACACCAAACATATCAGCAAGCTGTTTCACACCTTAAACAGAAACCCAACCACAGTGAACATTCATTGCTGCTAGTTCGTCTGACGAACTGCAAAAATTCAGCTTTATGTGCGAAATTGAGTCCGATGGTGGACATAAAGTGTATGGCGAAAAATAGAAACTGCCATTTTTAAAAATGACAGTCAGTTCTTTTGTTCACGGATGATTATGTATTTTTAAGGTGGTAAAAAGCAAGGTAAGCTTATACAAAATGGCTGTTTTGTAGAAGTTTTAAATTGGCGAGCGTTTCAAACCAGCAAAACTCTAATATAATAATAATAGTAGTAATAATAATAAGTATATTTCTCATTGAGTGAGGAACTGTGGCCATATTTGGCACAGATCATGTTTTAAACTCACGCATGAATGGTAAACATTTATGTGATTTGCATTGCTTTGCTGTTTCAAGGGTTTATATTAACCCACAGATGAGTAACAACGCAATGAGCACTGGTTAGAATAGCGAATGGTAACGGCACTATGGGTGTGTCACAATACGAAAATGTTTTTACTCACTAGATGTCATCTGACCCTTCTTGGTACAACTCATCAAGTGATCTCGCCCGAGCAAACGGGGGCATAATCATGTTCAAATCTAGGTAATTGGTGAGCTTAACGCGAAAGAACTTTGCGCTCTCACACTATGGGAATAGGGTACTAAAATGCAGTAATTTATCTGAGTTTAACATGATATCAAATATTAATCGTACGTCTACGACTGACCAACTCCGGGTAGGTAGCTCTCAACCCAAACTGTCAGACCTGGGTATAATCAACGCATTATAATATCAATCAGTTTCACCCGTCACATAATTTAAGCTATGACTACATATTTAACCACGCGGACAATAATTGCAATATTTCAAGAGCTTCAGCCATTCATAAAAGTGAGTACCACATGGGTTTTGCACAAGTTTTCTAAGTTTATCATTGTCGACTTATTATAATTTGCACTGAATAAAAGGGCACATTTAAACACGCATTATATAGTAAATAGTTGAACAATCAGTTTTATCTTTGATGAAACCAGACACACCATTATGCGCATGAGCAAGTAGTGGGCACAGTGTCACAGAAGCGCTGTAGGTGTATGAACATGAAACGGTAGTGTTGGCAAAAAAGATGGCTCGAAAATTGTTCATCTGTTTCACTAAGCAAAGTTTCAAAATTGATCGGCATGCTCATTGGTGTCAGAGAGAAGTGTGGCGCCATATCGTGATAAGACCTATAAGTGCTTTTGTTACTGAAAATCCGGGTTGGGGCGGGTTAGATTGGATGCGGAACTTGAGCTCCATATTTTCATGGGCACCAGAACACGAGAAAACACTGGAGAAACTCCGTTATCCGAAAGGGTGAGGCTTCTGCGTTAGGTTCAATGACAAGTATTCGTTTGTTCATTTGCGGTTGTGGATAAGAACTTGGGATATTGTGCAGATTGTTACGGTGAGGCAGTAGACAATGACGTTATTTTGGTGGCGAGCCAAACCCTCGACATCACATTGTCCTTACTCAGACATTTGTGACTTTTATGGGGAGAACACATGGTTGGCGGCATCCGGTTTCGGATTTGCCTGTCACTGTGGCAAGCCACAGGACGCCTGCGCCTACAGAGGGACCATGGATGGCTTGCGCTGCACCACCCACAGCTCCAACCACACACCCCATATCCAGTGTAAACCCGAAGGAATAAGACCGGGAGGCATGCGGTTGGGAACCACGTTTCATCAACGGAGCCGGCCCACACTCCTTCACAGCCAAACACAAGCACGCTGTATTTGGGGAATCAACCGCACACAAGGCGGTGGCTGGACCGTAGTCCGCTCCACACTGAGTGCATGGAACCACTCTTTGAGCCTAACACGACCACAAGGACCGTGCACCCCGTCCCCTCCAGCAACGACCAACTGTCTCCTGGAGCCAGTATGGACGACGTAGTGGGTAATAGACAGGTAGGCACCTTGTCAACATGCACACCAAGCGCAGCCACACCAGGGATATCAAACAACAGCCAATCACTTGAGAGAGAGAAAGAAAAAGAGAAAAACTCGATTAATGCATAAGGAAACGGTGACATAAACCTTAATTAAATAGCATACGTAATAAGTTGTTTACAAACAAATCCTAGCTAAGTGCACGAGGTCAGGAAGTATAGTTCACGGAATGCCACGAACACAAAAATGTTATGGAAATCGAATACAATTGGCTAAAGCGATGTGTGCAAGTTAATGGAATAGAGTACATGGAGATATTTATATGAGAAAGGAAAGCATCAAGGCACAAACTGTAAACCCACCACCTGAAATAAAGAGACTTAGCATGCAAGCATGCGGTTAGTAAATCGAATTCAGCGTGCCTACAAACGCTGCGCCGGCTCGTCGTAATTCTCTGCAGGACCCGTCGTCGCTTCTGTAGTGGCCCCAAAGGACCTAGCTCATGGCCCACTAGACATTTATATGAGAAAGAAAGGCATTAGGAGAGAACCGAAAACCCACCACCTGAAATAAAGAGACTTAGCATGCAAGCACGCGGTTAGTAAATCGAATTCAGCGTGCCTACAAACGCTGCGCCGGTGCTGCCTACGTTCACTGCGGGACCCGTCGTCGCTTCGGCAGTGGTCCCGAGTGACCTCTCTCATGGCTCACTAGGCCTGCCTGACTAAGGCACTCGCGACCGCATGTTCTACAGCACAATGCGCTCGATGTCGATGGAGTACAATTCATCGATGCTTGCCGCTTCCGCACTTGCCGCTTCTTCTCTGCATGCATGAGGGCTTTCTCTCGCACTTCAGCAACTGCCTTCGTGATTAGATCGCGCCATGCACCACGATCAACCGCCTTCGATTCCCATGATCTGCAATCGAGATTAGAACGTGTGAGGCTCACTTTAATCATGTCCTGGTAACGTAACTTGGGTTTCCCAGCATGCCGCTTCCCTATACTCAGCTGACCGTACAAAAGTTGTTTCGGTATTCACGTCGAATCCATACGGCTCACATGACCGAGCCATCTCAGGTGTCTCAATAAAAGTATGCAGTCCACTGCATACATCCCACTTCGGCGCAACACTTCCGTGTCTGCAACTCTGGCGCCCCAGCCGATCCGCAAAATTCGTCGCAGACACTGCTGATGGAACCGCTCGAGATATCGCACATCCCGACGGTACATCGTCCACGTTTCACTGCCGTATAGAAGAACGGACAGTACCATGGATTTGTACACCATCAGCTTCGTGCCTATGCTAAGCTGATGGTTGTTCCACACTCGGTACTCTAGCTTCCCGAATGCCGCTGCCGCCTTCGACACGCGATTACGCAACTCAACGTGTAGTTGCTGATCAGTCGACATCACACTCCCAAGGTAGCAGAAGCGGGAGGTGGTTTCCAATACTTCAGCACCAATGCTGATTTGCGGCAATATTGAAGATTGCACCTCCGGTGAAGGCTGAAAGAGACAGACAGTTTTGCTTGTGTTGATGGTGAGCCCGAATTTGGCCGCTGTCGAAGCCAGAGCACTAGTCATGTGCTGCAACTCATCCGCGTTGTGTGAAAACAACGCACATTCGTCAGCAAACAGCAACATACGGATAGTTGTCTCACAGACTAGAGTTCTCGCACCGAAACGACGGATGTTCAGCAACCCACCATCAATACGGTGCTCCACACGAACACCGTAAGCACAAGCCGCATCAAAAGCACAAGACAACATTGCATGAAGATAGATATTAAACAGGGCAGGAGCTAACACACAGCCTTGCTTCACACCAGAGACAACTGTAAAGTCATCAGAGGTCTCTCCACTCAGCTGCACCCTCGCTCGCATACCACTGTGCAGACATTCAATTAAACTTACAAACTTACGCGGGCAACCAAACTTACCCAACACCAGCCACAGTGCCTCGCGGTTCACCGTATCAAATGCCTTGGTGAAATCAACAAAAAGCGAGTACAAAGGCTGGTGTCGTTCTCTGCACTTCTCTTGCAACTGACGAGCCGCAAACACCATATCTATAGTGCTGCGACCCGAACGAAATCCACACTGCTCTTCCGCCACGTTTGGTTCCACAATCTGACTCACGAGGCGATTGAGCAGGATTCGGGCAATCACCTTGCCCACACAACTCAGCAAGTTGATGCCACGATAATTCGTGCAACATTGCTTGCTACCTTTGCCCTTGTACAGTGGTAGCACAAGGGCATCCTTCAGCTCAGAAGGCACTTCCTCCTCAATCCACACGCGTTGCACCAAGTGGTGCAGCGCAGTCAACAACGCGGGTCCACCGTGTTTCAATACTTCAGGTGGGATCCCGTCACCTCCGGCACATTTGCCGTTTCGCAGCTGAGCAAGTGCTCTCTGTGTCTCATCCAGTCTCGGCGTATCCGCCAGATCCGCTTTCACATCATGCTGCTTCAGGCCATTCAATGTAGGCCAGTCGATCTCTGAACGGTTGTTCAAGAGACAGTCAAAGTGTTTCCGCCAGACCTGCATTATGTCTGCAGTCTGGGTGCAGGTAGCGCCTGAACTACCATCGATCAGTGTCCTCAGCGGCTCCAATCTCGGTCCATACACCGCCTTCAAGGAGTCAAAGAATTCCTTGTGTTGACGGCGTTCGGCGTAGCATTCCATCTGCTTCGCCTTCTCCGTCCACCATGCATTTTTAATGCGACGGAGCTCCCGGGTCAGTCGCCGTCGAAGTTTGCGAAACTGACTACTCTTCCCCAAGTCACTGGGGTCTGCCACATGTGCAGCAAATGCTGCATTCTTCTCTGACACCAATGCGTCAATCGCCACATTGTTGTCATCAAACCAATCAGGCCACTTACACATACCAGGTGCAAAATCCACCATGTACTGGAACACTGCCCTCGATCATAATTAGAAGTGTAATGTGCCACTAGCAACGCTTCTTTAAGACCGGTTATTCGCACGGTTAATCGCAGTCATATTACATCCAAGGTTTCCGTTGACTGCTCGAGAAGCTTACTTGGGATACACCAGTAAAGGTTGAAGCTGGCGGTACTGCACAAATATGTGCTAAGGCTATGAAGAGGGGGATTCGAATATGCGCAATTGAACGTGGATCTCGAAGTAATGGAAGTTAGATATTTCAGTGGACGCAGCAGTGACAGATCGGATAACACAAGGGCCATGTGTGTCTCGCAGGAATGTCCACGAGGAGTAACCATCTCAAGTAAGTAGAACGCCAGCAAGAAGCTTGTTGTAGTTTCCATAAAACAGGTATGGCCAAACACATTATTACAGGCTACAAAATTTATTCATCTGAAGGGCATATGACTGTTGTTAGACCAACCTGGCAAGATTAATGGAGTACCTATGGAATAATGATGCCAAGTAGTTGGAGGTTAAAATAATACTGGAGAAATAATCCACTGATGATGGAGACTGGGTATAACGTCGTGAGGTTGCAAGTAAGAAGAAATCAATGCATGTAGATAAGGTAATTTTAAGTGATGTTTCGAAGGTCAGAAGGATCTGAACCTAATTATTCAACCCAGTGTAAGATTCAGATTAAGAGAATTGTCATAGTCTACAGAATAGGGCATAGTCGAATGCAAGAGTACAGACCCCAATAGATATTCGTCCGATGGACATAAGATTGTTTTTAGACAAAGCTGTAGAGGTTGGTTAAGTTTTCCACGGTAGAAAATTGCCAAGGGGCTAAATATTATGATACCACAGGAATAACAATCCAGTGGTAAGGCAATGCTGCAGACACTTACGCTCTTCAAAATTTAGACCTTTGGTATTGATGATCCTCTCATAGGATGGATCAGAAACTTTCTTCTACACCGGCGCCTGGAAGTATGCGTGCTTGTTTCGCTGTCAGATCCCGTCCTAGTTGAATGCGGAGTACCACAGGGATCGGTACTAGGACCGCGATTATTTTTGACCTATATTAACGATATCACACGCGTTCTAAGCTCGAACTGCCTTGTTTATGCCGATGGCATCAAAGTGTGGAGGGTGATCAAAACACCGGACGATATCACAGTACTTCAAGCTGATCTGGATAGGGTATACGAGTGGTCAACCCAGAATCTACTTGGATTCAATGTGGATAAACGTAGAGTGCTGCATCTACAGCACAAGTTGGTGCACTCCTACCAACTAGGCAACCAGGAGTTACAAAGTCTTCTTGCAAGAAGTATCTGGGAGCTTTTTGCAGGTCGACCTAGGATGTTCGAAGTAAGCTAAAAAGGCCTCTAGACGGAGCATCCAATATGTAGGCCTCCAGAAGCGGGCATTTGGACAATTCGACCATTCGATTTTTCCACAACTTCTCGGCTCATACATACGGCCGCATGTGGAATACGCACTCCGTGTCTGGCAGCCATGGCTGAGGAGAGATATCACCGCCTTGGAGATACCCCAAAGCCGGGCAACCAAGAATGTCAAGGGTCTGTATAATTTGTCGTATGAAAGAAGGCTACAAGTGCTTGGAGTCTTCAACGGACGGTATCGATGATTGTTTGAGGACTTCTTTTTGGCGTCCCAAATTTTAAGCGACCCTAACCACACATGCCACTCCTTAGTAGAACTCAGACACAACAGCAGTTGTAGTTGTCATCATCTCAAACTGGCAGAGCAACACAGTCGCTTGGAATGCCGTCGGAGTTTCTTTTCCGTACGCGTTTGCCGTAGTCCGGATGCCCTGTCGAAATCTGTCATATGTGCACCCACGCTAGCAGAGTTCAAAGCCCGAGTTGACTGTGCACTTATTTCCCTGCACCATCCTACATGACCCATGACCTATGGATAAACACAAGAGTCTGTAAGCGATTTCTCTGGCGGTCGCAGATTTCGTTCCATATTTTTCATATCCTCTATGTGTACACTAGAAGCGGAGATGATTTTTATCAACATCCCGTTTGTCGTCATTTCTTATGAGTTTATCTCGAATTTACAGTCTACACTACGTATACTTTGGTCAATGCACTGGTGTAAACTTAAATTTGCTAACGAATTTTTACATTTTGTTGTTTCACCATAATCATCTTACGGGACCTGTTAAGTATTAGTATTTTTACCGGTATAAAACCATTGTACCATTTAATCTCATAACATGGAGATAGCAAGCGTGGAACGTGGAACAATCGTGAATGCTGCCGGTACCCCTAAACCATTGGTTTGCATCGTCACATACTTTGTATAGTCTAGACTTGGTGTCAAGAGTTTTTCATTGCTTGGACTACTAACTCATTTAGTCTCCGGTCAATTTTTTTCGCATTAATAATACGGTGAGACAGATTATCGGAAGCAGCTACAGACGTACAGACAAACATATACCAGGTGAAGTTTCCCAAGTATTAATAAAAGCTTGGGTCATTGTTGAATTGTGGCAGCCTGAAAAAGATGGAAACAGACCAAAGTTGCCACATGTTTTATAGATGTTAATTCCTATTTTTAATCAGCTGACAGCATCACAAAACTGGTACTTCGGTGAGCTAGATTTAAAGAGGACTTATTAGTAGGCTAGTGAAGAGTATGATTCATAAGGCAGTTTTATAAAAGTGTCAACATTGCAAGTTCCATGGATGCTGCACACAGGGTAGCTGAATTGCGTTCCGCCACTCTGTTAAGCTATACAGCTCGTCGGGACAAAAAACATACAACTACTATCTGAGCCGCCCATCTATAACGGGCAATTCCGTGCACAAGGTGAAATTCTCTAGATGATGAATAATGAACCGTCGCCTGCAAATAACACGCGTTCCATGTCGAGGTGTTTAATAGGTCCACAGAAGCGACCAATAGCGGCTTCACTGAAGACCAGTGAGTCACAGCCTTACTGTTAACAGCTTTCTGTCACTACCGTTTGCAACTTTGATCCACTTGATTATTGGATGTAAATTTGATAAGGCTTTCATCCCAACAGTTCACAAGCTACATAGCAGAGCCTAGTCCGGAAAAGCGCCAGACGCGTTTCGCCCTATTGGGGCTCGTCAGTGGCGCGCATTCCCTCGGTCCTCTAATGAGGATTGAACCCATGACCGCTAGAGGCAGATGCCAACTAGCCAGCAGCTTAAGCCACTGAGCCATGGGGGACGTCCGCTGGGCTACATAATTTGCAAACTGGCTGGGATATAGCACCACCTATCTACCACTGTCACGGACAGTGGTTAGCCTGCAAGGTGATGACGTCCTCTCACTAGACGCTATACCTATAGCATTTTGAAACTAGGAGAGGCATTTAATTTTATAGTACTCATGAGTAGCAGGATTTTAGTTGTAAATTTGATAAGGCTTTCATCCCAACAGTTCACAAGCTACATAGCAGAGCCTAGTCCGGAAAAGCGCCAGACGCGTTTCGCCCTATTGGGGCTCGTCAGTGGCGCGCGCTCTGCTATGTAGCTTGTGAACTGTTGGGAGGAAAGCCTTATCAATTTTACAACTAAAATCCTGCTACTCATGAGTATTATTGGATGTGTTTTAATCGCAATAAACACGTACCCACTTTCTTCTAAAGAGGTGAGTTATGAACAAGCGTGCATGAATCGATATGTTTTGGAGTCCTTTAGCCGTCGCCGGACAATCAGAAGCGGTAAAGCTCATTGCGTAGTTGAAATCGGAAACAAACTCAGTGTTGTGAAACGGATCCTGACTTTGCGATGAGCTACTATCGCAGACATATTATGTATAGACAACGGAATTTCCTAATCCTGCGTAAGCTGTGCTCAGATTGGCAGTGGCAACCGGTAAGTCTTTGTGACTTGATAACGCCGCGCCTCTATAACCCAATGTACGGAAGACGCAAACAGCAATTTCTTTCACTACATCTCAACTACTAAGACTGTAACTCCACCAATGTGCGTGCCACCAGCGCAGACTTTCACATTGTCTTAATGCTCTCTTGAACTGCAGCGACGCATTTCATGTCTGACGTTTATACATGATACTTTATGTTATAATATGATTGCTTTTTCACGGTAAGCCACCAGACCGTTGATGCGACTGCGATTCTTTTGTTATCAGACTAGGTAAAATCGCCTATACAGTATCAAGCGAATAAGTTGCCTCTTATCGTGCTTTATGCCTATGTGTTTCGCGCGTGACAGTCACCTTAAGTCAATCACGGACCAATAGCTGAAACAACAGTACTCCTAGCTCGGAAGACACTTGTCTATTAAGCTAGTGAGATCGAAATGTCGTAGTTGGCAGTTTACCAAGAGCAATGAAAACACAAATATCAGGCACTCCGCTTTTACTCATGACGCAAATACAGATGAATAAATGAGCTTTCTGGCTTGCAACACAACTCATATAACCGAGAAATCGGATCCCACTAATGCTAGCTGCCAACTCACCTTGCAATAGAGTTTCTAATTCATTTCACCAAACATGTTTACCCAATTTCTAATTGCAGCTAATGGTCGAACTGCAACGCAAAGAATTACTGACACATCCACTCTGCACAGCTTACTTGGAAAGAAAGTGGTAAGTGCGACTTCGCAGTTCCCAGTTCGTGATGCCTCTCCACATTATAACACTGTTACAATCCAACCCATGTCAACTGTATTCATAATGAATCAGCCGAAAAACGTGCTGGCTTCAAATCAGGTCAACTATTACAACAACATTAAGACTTAGTGCGTTCCTAACTCGGGGGGTAATTACCCACAATGGGGTAAGATGGAATTTTGAGGGGATAAATATAAGTACGAAGATTTGGTCATCAATCCGTCGTCAAATAAAATTAATAACAACGTATATATAACAAAACTTGTAACAAACTACCTAATGACTATTGCGTGGATGGCATTGATTTATCATAAATAAGTAGTCAGTAAATTGGACAATATTTGGTAATAGATGTTAGTAAATAAAATACAAATGAAAGCACACAAAGCAGCGTATCCAGATTGCGTTTGTATTGGTTCGCTCGTTTGTCACCATACTTTTGAGTCAGGCACTCGTGCGGCGGGTTAAATTACAGATCCGATTGTACACTATGTGGGATCATTATTCAGCCAAGCAGTTAAAGCAGCGATCGTATGTTTACAAAATGGAAATGGCAAAACAGGCGTACCGATACAGAGTGGTGGTGGCGGTGGTGAGAAGCTGTCATCAATGGTGGACTTGGAAGTGCTGATTGAAACAAATTATCAGCCACTACAATCTGTTCTTGTTTGATCAAGATCACAAACCAAAACAAGGAACCGAAGGAACTTGACGCACGGCGCGTTGTGCACTAGATGAAGTCGCACACATACACCAGAAATTGGAGGGTCAAGGTTGGACAACACGTTGTGTGATTGGATTGTGACGCGCAGTCTCAATGTAATGGACTGTGATTCACACTGAAGGGAACCTTAGTTGCGCCGTGTTTTCGGGTGGGCAACACCCAATTTACGCCAGAAATTGGTTACACCAAGCAATATGGACCGTCTGAATAATGCACATCACCACATGATTTATCAAAAGTTTTCCAAATGGGTGTTTTCTTTATTTAAATGATAAAAGTACTTAAAAATTATTATTTCTCGTACTTAAAAGGTGATAGTTAATAGGCATGTAGCCTCTTAAACAGAAACATTTTGGAGGTCAGTTTTTATACTGAAACTAATTGCGGGTAAAAACCTCAAAAAGTTTAGGACAACTGCACTAAGTGTTACTGCTGGGTGACAAATCACGCAAATATTCCCATCTAGATTGTGGCAAAACAATCGTTAACGAAAAAGCGGTATTTAGAAAACTAAACAAGCGTAATCTGTAAAAACCCTTATGTGTATAACTAGGCCGCCTATATATCCAACAACCTTTGAACTTATAAAATTCCTCCGTTGTCTAGATTAAATAAAATCATTTCAGCGCAATCAAATATTAGCCAATCAGCGCACAGGCGGGGACGCAAATCGTTCAATCATGTGCTTCGTTCGTTTCCGATAAACTGGTTGCTTGCTTTGTCCTGAATATTTGTCGACTCTATCCTTTTGCACACTCCATCACGAAACTGACACTGCTGGTAGACTTAAGGGTTTATTCAATGTCTAAAAACCAAACTTTACTAAATCCGGTAAAACATTACAGTTATAAGTATAAAACACTACGAGCTGCAGTTATTTTGTAGGCATGCCTTTGGGCCCAAAGTTCACAAAAAATGGTCTTTTAGTATTAACAAGCTTTTTAAATAGCTCAAAACTAGTTTTCATCGCTTATGAGTAGAAGGATTTTCGCGAGTTGTTTGAGTCCGTCACAATCAGCCGACAATTCAGATAAAGCAACTACCATTCCAAGGGAGCACTAGGCGGCCGTTTTGCCCTATTGAGGCTCAACCGTGGTGCGCATTCTTCGGTCCTCTTCCGAGGATCGAACCAATGAGATAGTGGCTTGCGCCAACTAGCCCGCAGCTGAAGCCACTGAGCCATGGGGGACGGCAGACGACCATCATGAATTGTTAGCTAACTGCGATATATGCCGACTCATTCTCCACTGCTATGCAAGCACCTGCTATGCCGCTGACAGCGGTTGGCCTGCCTTCTGGCGTCAGGACTTCCCGTTTACGACAGCTGTGAATCGACATAGCATTTATATGGAATCCGTATGGGCGAATTTGTATTACTTATGAGTAGAAGGATTTTAGCGGGTATTTTGACTTCGTCGCAATCAGCCGACTCCGGAAGGTCAACCGCTGTCATCTAAATGGCAGGCGCCTACATGGTAGTGGAGGATGTGTCGGACTATATCGCAGTTAGCTAACAATTCATGATGGTCGTTTGCCGTCCCTCATGGCTCAATGGCTTCAGCTGCGGGCTAGTTGGCGCAATCCACTATCAGTCATTGCCACAATAGGGCAAAACGGCCGCCTGGTACTTTCTTGGAATGGTAGTTGTTTTATCTGAATTGTCTTCTGGTTACGACGAACTCAAAATGGTTTTGATCGGTTGAAGATGTCATAAGCCATTATTGTATGTTCAAATCTACTGTCGTATCTGTTTCCGATGTTACCTGTTATCGCATTCAATTAGGTTATGTCACCGGACCAGCAATACTCAGTGATTCAAGCGACAATGATCATCTAATAATAAATTCTTGCTCTGTTGGCTCTTCGTGTGTGTTGTGCAGTATCAAAACAACCGGTCCTAACCACACTCCAGCACTTTGTCCACAAACGGTGATTATTTCGGTTCATAATAAAACAAAAATATTATCCGTCTTCTAAGTATAGTTGTGGTAAATAAATGCTTTCTAAATTCGAATTCCGACTTGTTCATTAACGTCCATCTAGCAGCATTCCATACAAGGAACACAGTTTCGCAGTATGTTGACTGCTTGGATGCGCCAAACTTAAAAAAGAACCAGTTTAAGTTTGTTCTTTCAGGTGCTTCCTCAAATCCACATTTGATCAGAAAGTTATCACACGCACAGAAAAGTACTGTACGGTTGTTTAATCCTTTTGAAAAGCATCAGCACTGCAAATTCACTTTGTTAATCGTGTAGCTTAAATCCGCACCACAACTTTTAAGCTTTGACAGTAGACAGGATCAATTTACTTTAGTCCAAGCGGTTGTGCGGCAACTATAGATAAAATAAAATAAAAATAGATTTGAACGACAGGTTCAAACCCTTTGTGTAAGTAAACTGTTTGAGAAAAACATACAAGGTTTACTGCGTGAATATCGCCGAATGCGCCTGTTGGCCGTAATCACGAAGTATATGTACGAATTTGACCCAGTATTTTATAAATTACTACTGGATTGATCCCTCCTAAGCCAAGCGATCTATCATCCAAATGCAGAGAACATAGAACAGCACAAATACTTCTTTTAATACAGACTGCGTCCCATAGCCAATAACGTTCCGACGATATTCCTGTAGGTTATATGGCATTGCTACTTCAAACCAGTGACTCCTCAGATGTGTGTTGTTCTTAACTTGCGGAAGATGGACACAAACGTGGTTAATGTTTCGCAGCGTCAAATAAATCAATTGAACATCACCCTGTGGGTTCCGATACTGACCGCCGTACAACTGTATGACCCTCAGCTCAAGCTGGCATGGAAGGTAAACAATATCCTGACCTACTTGTTTGAGCTTTGCGTCTTGGACACACTCCGCGTTAAAGGTCTTTTATCAAACCCGTGACATTGTTACTCAATGCTAATCATATATGTGTACGCCCCAAAGGCACTGTAATCAGATCATTGTCTGTTTACTCTCACAAGGATGCTGTTTATCTTTGTAATTGCGTTACCCTGCCAAACAATTTCTGCAACTGTCAACGGGTATTAATCGCGTGCCCTTTGGCAATTACTTTCCAACGAAGTAGTCAGTCGTGTTAGAAAAGCCAAACCGTACAGACCTCGAGTCGCCTTTAAGTTAAGCCGTGAAAGCCCTTCTGCTGAATGTTATTGTCTATTTGTTCTAGGAAGTCTTGTAGTAGGGTAGAAACCGTTGGGAGGCTTAGTCGAACGAAGGCGTCAATTCAAAATCGACCAGCTCATCGTCCGCGCGGTACACGGTTTACACGAAGGGAATGCTTTACTAATAAGTAAATAAACAAATATGTATTTCTCCTGAACAAGATGATGTTAATTGCAATGTTTTCCTCCCAGGAGCTCACAAGCTACATAGCACTGACTGGCCCGGAAAAGCATCACACGCATTTCACCCTATTGGGGCTCATCAGTGGTGCGTATCCCCACGGTCCCCTACTGGCGATTGAACCCTTGACCGCTAGAGGCAGATACCAACTAGCCAGCTGCTTAAGCCACTGAGCCATGGGGGACGTCGTTTGGGCTACACAATTTGCAAGGTAACTGGGATATAGCACAACCTAACTTCCGCTGCCACGTAGGTTACTACCTTAGCAGATGACAGTGTCTAGCCTCAGAATGACAGACAGCCAACATCCCCCATGGTTCATTGGCTTAAACCATTGGCTAATTGGCACCTGCCTCTAGCGGTCAAGGGTTCGGTCCCCAGTAGGAGACTGAGTGAATGAGCACCACTTACAAGCTCGGATAGGGCGAAACGCGTCTGGTACTTTTCCGGACTAGGCAGTGCTAGGTAGCTTATGAGTAGCAGGGACGAAAACATTACAAATAAATATTTCTTCTCCACAAAGCCAGGTACACCTTTTGGGCATGAGTTGGCTAATGCAACGGTGTACCTAACAGCATGATAAGCAGATTTAAAAGCAGCAGTATTGCAGTTGTAATCATTGGTGTGGTCCCGTAAGGCCCAAAAAGTTAATGAATTTTATTCTCGAGCATTTCGAGCCACGTCTCGGCAGGAATGATAAAAAGTGCACAGGCGAAATGGTTCGCATCAAATAAATGAGATGTAAACATAGGAGTTACAGAGATGGTTGGATTAGAGAATGTGTTGGTGAGAAACTTTTCCGTTGATGTGTTCACACTTTGGATTAGTGCTTAAAGCATGCGGACCAACGTGTAAAATTTTTTCACAGTAGTGGTATGTCACTGTTCAAACAT